TACTTGGTAAGTATATTTGAAAAGCTTTAAAAGAATAATAAATAAAATTACATACAAATGTTATACTGCTCCACACCAAAATTTATTACAATATTGAAAGAAAATCAAAACAATAAAATCACATGAATCATGACAGAAGGGTCAAATTTGCAATGCTTAAGACTGACCCTATGTCTACACCTCCATGCAAGAATGTCTGTTTCGAAGGTGTACAATTAGAATTTTAGACTATTCCACATTCATTAGAATATGTACTTGGATATGTTTGGATAATTAAAGTTTTGGAGCCATACCAATGTTGAGTTCAACTCCACTAAGTTACTTAATATCTGGTGCCGCAATTTTCTGATTTAAAAATTGTTGATAAAAACAACCTATGGTGTATATTACATGCTCTTTATATATCTAGGTTTAGTATTGTATAATGTAACATTTTATATTGAGGAGAATGAGAAAATAAATATGCATAATATTATTGTTGCAATTTTTATATGAAGAATGACTTCATAAAAAATACTTCATGAGGGCCTGGGATTTAGCTCAGTGATTTCACCGCCTGTTGTGCAGGCACAAGGACCTGAGTCCGATCCTGGTACTAAAAAAAAAAAAAACTTCATGAGTCTCGTTTTCATAGACAAGGTAAATCTGGGAAAAATACTCTCCTGAAAGAAGTCCTCAAACTTTGGGGAAACACTAAGCCTTTAACTCAAAAATTCTGTTATTATTTTGTCAACAACTCAGTACATTTAAAGTTGTAAAAAAGATGTTTACCTTTTAAATAATATACACAGATATGATAGTTTTTAATGAATATATAGTAACAACTTTTAAAATTTACTTCTTACTCAAACTATAATTAAAATATAATTGCTACATCATAAATTGCATCTATGTGTTTTATGAATTTTAGGCAAATAAAATAATTATATCTATACCTATCTTATTAGAAATATCATTTTATAAAACTGAAAGTTGACATTCATTGCCACATATAAAAATGTCTTTGACATAATTTTACTGTAACAATAGTGACTAGAACCTTTAGAAATCAAACTGCTTCCACTGTATAGTCATTTTTTAAATGTCACAGAGGGCACCATTTCTCACATAATATTCTTTTCACAGCGTCTTTCACATCTCTGTTTCTCAGACTGTATATTAGAGGGTTCAGCATTGGTATTATAAGCGTGTAGAACACAGCTATGATCTTACTTTGCTCTGGTGAGGAGATGGCCCCAGGCTGAGCATATGTGAAGAACACAGTTCCATAGAATAAACTCACTACTGTTATATGAGAGCCACAGGTGGAGAAGGTCTTACTCCTGCCCTGGGTTGAGGGAATCTTCAAAACAGTGGAGAGAATATATGCATAAGAAACCAAAATGATAATTGTGGTGCTGATGATGATGAAAGCAGAGAGAATAAACAGTACAATCTCATTTACAAATGTGTCAACACAGGAGATCTTGATCAGCGCTGGGACATCACAGAAAAAGTGGTCCAGTCTGTTTTCTTGACAGAAATGCAAACTGAAGGTGAAACTTGTCTGCACTATTGCATTTATGCATCCACAGATATAAGATCCAGCTACCAACTGAATACAAACTTTGTGTGACATGTTCACAGGGTAAAGGAGAGGGTAGCAAATGGCTGAGAATCTGTCAAAGGCCATTCCAGCTAGGAGAAAACATTCAGCTGTGACAAACAAGGCAAAGAAGAAAAATTGTGCTGCACAGCCATTATATGAAATCTTCTTTTCATTGGTCAAGAAGTTGGCTAAAGTTTTGGGTGCAATGACTGTGGAATAGCAGAGATCTAAATAAGACAAGTTTCTAAGGAAGAAATACATGGGTGTTTGAAGTCTAGAGTCCATATTAATGACAATTGTCATGCTGACATTTCCTGCTACAGTGACCATGTAGATCATGAAGAACAATAAGAATATGAGGATCTGTAGCTTTGGAGGGGTTCTAAATTCCAAAAGAATAAATTCCGTCACCTCTGAGTAATTCCTATTCAGCTCACTGTTCATAACTGAGATAGGTAGAACTGTAGCAATAATAAAGATAAAAAATGATTGATCAGATGACTATATTTATTTTACTCAAAAAAATTGGTAAGCTAGTGTGGAAGACAATTTATCATATTCTTCTCAATATTTTATAAGACATCAGTGAAAATAAAGATTAGATTACCATTCTTAAAAAGCCTTTTTACTGCATGGTTCAATCTGATTGGTAAACCTTTTCAGATACACTTATCTTCAAATAATCTTGATTGGCACTCTAAGTGTGCTTTGAGGAAATGAAGATTCCAGAAAAACATCTGGAAATGAGAGCTTTGGATTTAGTTTGTTCTGTTTTACTTTTGTTTTTATTTTCTCGATTTTATCATCAATTTATTTCCATTATAATTTGCCTCCCTTAGTGAAAGATGTTTCTTACACATATTATAATCTACTTCAAGGGATATAATCTCTTGAATATATAAGAGTTCAGAATTTAAGAATTAAATTCAATTGTTATTTCATTTTTAATAGCTAGTTAAACTTTTATTTTCTATAGAAAAAATAACACATAACATTATGCCTTTCTTATATTAGAAGGAAGCCTGCAGATCATGCGTGACAAAAACTTCATCTTTGGAAAATTAATCTCATTACATTATTTCTTCAATTATTTTTGTCCCTATAAGGACATAAATTTTTAATGGAAAAATTAATCTGCTAAAAATAGTAGTACTGTTTGCTTGTATTTTCTAAAGATTTTTACTTTCTTTCCTTTCTTCTTTCCTTTTTTTCCTTCCCTTCTCCTGTCTTTCCTTCTTTCTTACTTTTATCTCTTATTCTTCTGAGCATAGGAATCCCAGTGAAGACATTTGTAATCTTAAACAAAGATTTTTTTTCTTTCTTTTTAGAAAAAAAACTAATTACAAATGCAAATATATAAGCTTATGGAAAGAGAAGGCACACAACAATTTTGAGAGTGGAATATACAAATAATTAAAAATTAACATGCATTTAAGTAAGCTTCTAATGTATTTTAGACACAGTTTATTATGATTACAAATTATTTTTAAATACAAGTGAAGCAATAGAGATGTGGACAAATTTTTATTCTAATTTTATGAGCAAATTAAGACACTTAAAAAATATTTCAGTGACTTGCTTAAAGTCATGGAATTGGGCAGCACACTAGTCTACTATTCAAAAATCTACCAATGATGGATAAGAAAATTAGCAAATGATGAATTCAATAGCTTATATATTAAGAAAATTTATTTTGTAATTTTAAATATAATTGTAAATGCTGTGTAAATGTCTTTCATTGTTACATAAATTTATAATTATATGTATTTGTAAATCATATAATTATAATGAACTGATTAAACTATAAATGTATAATTATGAAATGCCTCTGATACATTTTTTTTCTTGTCACCACTTTGATTTCACTAATTTTGACACATTTTCATAGTATTTTGGACCTTTACACTTTAATCTGATTGGTAACTTTTCAGATATGCTGATTTTCAGAAATATTCTTTAATAGTATACTAGAATGAAATTGGTCCAGGCACAACAGTCAGCCTTCCTGAAAACAATTAAATGATAGCATGAAATATTTGCCAATTGATTTTAGAAGGCAGAATAGTGAAAATAACTTCTAGCAGAGCCTATTAAACTATAAAATATCAAGTTTTCCTTAAATTCATATTTTACATTTAGTCCCTGGTTTCAATAGAAATTTCAAAAAAATTAAGAATTGTAACTAAAACTATCTAAAGAAAGGTGTTTGAAGAAATAACATTAAATACAAAGTATTAAGAATGATTATTATTTCTCATCTTAGTAAACACTATAATAAGATATGTGAATTCAAGTACATTCATGAAGAGACAAAAACATGAAAAGAAACAGACCTTTGTTTAACAAGAAGTTTTTCTGCAATCCAGATTGCCTTTCTTTGATGGTCAGTTCATGACTCAAATTTCTAACACAAACACTAGCAAAAATTGTAGCTTATATCTTTTTATTATGCATCAGCTTGATGTACTTTCTCATTTATTAAGCTGACAAATAGACCTGGGATGAGTTCTGAAAGAAATTCTCTCCTAGGATGAGAAAGCAAAGTGATGGGCAATCCCTTGACAAGATATTCACCAGGGATGAAAAGTCTTTTGTGTCAGTAAGATATTGTGTGTTACAATGCAGAATGAAAAAACTGAGAGAAAAAAATTTAATTAGTAAACCAATCAGACTTTTGGAAAGTTAAAAAGCTCTCTGGGGGACCTAAGAACTAACCTTTTACACAAAACAAATAGTTGGGTGAAAAGTTCTTGAATTTTTTGTATTCACAATGTACAAAGAGATATTTTACACTTTTAAGGACTCATTTCCTACTTCTACTGTAAATACATTTTACTGTATTTATAGACTAAGTAATAATCAATAGAAACAATAAAAGAAAAAATGGTGGCTATCAAAGTCACTTAAAGGCTAGCAAGAGTAGACAGTCATGGGCCAGGGATTTAGCTCAGTGGTTCCGCCGTGTGCCTCACAAGCACAAGGACTTGAGTTTGATCCCTAGTACCAACAACAAAAAAAGAAAGAAAGAGTAGAATGTCATGTTACTATGTGTGATTTCAATGTACAGGGGAAAATTCTGTTAAAATATTCTAGAAACCTCTAAATGTTTTTAAGAATGAGAGTCACACTCAGTGGTTCCTGCGCCTGCCTCACAAGCACAAGGTCCTGAGTTTGATTCCCAGTACCAAAAAAAAAAAAAAAAAGAATGAGAGTCACACTAGGGTTTACCCATCAACTGCTAAAACTAAAAAGATAAAATACCCTAGGAAGTATACTCAAAGAGAATAAACACCTTCTCTTCATACTTTCGCAACTGTAGTACAAAACTAGCCAAAGACAATGGAAAATGAATAATGCATGGACTATAACTTTCTCACCAGTACTCTAGAATATATAAAAACTCTGCAAAAAAACTCTGCAAAAGCATTTTGAGAAAGAAAAAAATCTTACACAAAATTTTTAAGGCTTTCTATGAATATATTCTACAACTTCATAGAAAATTGGCATTTTTGTTTTACTGGTTTCCTACTAGGAGACTAGTTTAACATTCTGTGTAAATGACATGTTAAAACTGCAAGTATCTTAATAATAGTAGAACACTGTTCTATCATGATATTCACTGAGTAGATCTCTGGTTACCATTTTATCACCCACAGATACTGAGTTTTAATGAAACAGATGGAGAGCAAGAGGGCAGAAATTGTCTAAATAAATGAATAAAACATAATTCATTTTTATTATTCTTATAATTCTTTAAATTATTACAGATCTAATGCTTTTCAATATTTTACTAATCATCATGTTATTCTTTCATATGTTAAAATGATTCAATACATAGCATTTCCTTTACAAATGACTAAAAAATTATCAAGTGCAAAAGAACAAAAATTACAGCAGGTAGTTCATAGTAATGATACCTTATAATCATTCTGTATCTACCATACATAAATCAATGCAAAAAAGTTACCAGCTCAATTTGAAGTATTCAATACTTTGTCAAGATTATTTTGTAAATCTATTTTAATAAATTATTTGAATTTTTGTTATCCCAATTTGTATTTTTTTAGTGCTTTCTCTAGAGGGTATATGTATAGTCTTAAGTTTTCACACACTAAGTTGTGCATCACTTGATGTTAATTATAGAGAAGTAGTAATTTCAGTGACCATATTGCTCTCTAGACATATATAAGCTTCAAAACAGGTCCTTATTTTTTATTATACACGTATAAATATATCAAAAATGTAAGTTTTTTGTATATATTCAGATTTTATAAAATTTAGTGGTTTTATATTCTTAAAAGGTTCTTAGAGATCCTAAATAATTCTGTTAATATTTCCTTTTAGCCACAAAGTTTCAATTAGCATTTTTATGGTATTATTTTGCCACGATGCTTTCTCTTTGTTTATAGAAGAGTTGTTTATTTGGCTTCTAATCCTACAGCTGATATATCCTAGATGCACCATTTTTGTTTGGTCTTTTCTTCATTTGTTTTCAAAATGGTTTTCCATTGTCATCTGATGAAGACATGTCTCCATATTTTCTGATGAAAAGTTCACAGTTATTAAAATTTAACATTTTTTCTAGTGTTTTTCAAGAGTTTTTGTTATCTTCAAGTTTGGCTATCAGAGGTCTAATCATCCAAGATCTTTGTTCCCCTGTAAATGGTAGTCAAACAATAAACTAATTGAAAAATGATGCAATTTAATTAAAATAATATACACTCCAAACTTTATTACTGCTTCAACATTTTTCCCTCAAATGTTTAGTAAACCATACTATAATGTTAAAATTTAGAGTGTGCACGTTCACATAAAATTTTTCAACATAAAAAGGCCTTCTATATTTAACTACATGTTACTCATTTTCAGTTCTCTTCCTATCTCTGTGGATAGTCTAGTTCCACGCAGTATAAATTTCCTTCATCCTGAGATACTTGGTTTTTTATTTCATTAGTGCCATCATAATGGTGACAGACACATATTGAAAGGAAGAAATAAAACCGTCCTTCTTGGCAGATGACATTTTTATCTACAAAGACTAAATTCTGAAGAATCTACCAATCTTCCAGAACCAATGAATGAGTTTGACAAAGTTGCAAATTACAACACCAACACAAAAATCAATGACATTTCTCTCTACTAACAATTGATGACTGGAAGCCACAACTAAAGTATTGTATAACAATAACATATACAGACAAAATATAACAATATATGTGTGTGATCTGTTTACTGAAAGTTATGATGATGATCTGTGTATGATCTGTATGATGAAACAAAAAGACAACATAAATGGAGAAAGATGCAATATTTAACCCTAGAATGCTAAAAATACTTGCTATTTGTAAGATTTACAAGGAAAAGCAAAGTAGTTAACAGGGTGGAGGGAGGGATTGAGGAGATGCTTGCTAAAGATACAAAATTTTACTTAGGAGAAAAAAGTT